CCTGTTCCCCATAATCCTTCCAACGTGAATTCTGCTGAGTGCCCACCTCACTGAGCCTTCCCCTCTGCTCCCTCATTAATCTTGTTGGTGTCATCTTGTCATTTTGGAAACTGTCACTGCAGATTCTATGCAGTGCAAAAGTTCTAGCTAAGCTTTTGTGTTGGATGCTGAGAAATGTGCACTATCCCAGCACGTTTTTTATTATCATTATTACCTGTCTGAGCTGTGTATGGGGAGGTGGGGAGTGGTGGAGAGAGAGGAGGGAGTTACTGGTTTTAAACCCACGGGGCATTAACACAAATCCAAACCTCTAAGTTTCCTCAGCCTCTCACACACGGAGCCAGTTTAGTAATTGTAAACTTGGATGTTAGATTATGCTTGCAAGACAGGGTGTATGATATGAGTATTTTTATGATTATTTTTATATATATACATATATTCTTACTAAATTACATGAGTTTTATTGAACTGTTTCCTCCTTCCAGGAATCATACCTGTGTACCTACTGTGTGGGGGTTATTTTTATATTAAATAAATTTAAGTAGAAATAAAACTTTTGGATGTTTTGTAAACTGACTTTTTACATGGACTCATTTTCTCTGAAACACCTAAAGTTTTTTAAAAATCTAAAAACTAAATTTTTTAAACATGAACTATGAAAGCCAAAGCACACGTTAAAGGAAATGGAAAGACGGTCTGGATCTTCCCACTTATAGAATAAAATAGTCATCTAACACATACTGACCACTTCGATAAAATTCATGGGCCTTTATTGGGCAGACAGTAACTTTTAAATACGTGTTTTATTGAGGGTTTCCTGTACGTCAGGCATTACACAAAGCAATGTATATGCCTTCACTCTCTTAACCCTCATAGCCATGCTAGCGGCAGGAAACACTATAGTTCTCACATTACGGACGAGGAAACCAAGGTTGAGATGCATGTACTAACTCACCCACCGCAAGATCTGAATTTGGAGGGCAAGAGTGGAGAAAAAGAAAGCACAAGCAGATGAGAAGCCTGCTGCCCCCCCCCAGAGGTTGTGGAACAAAGAGACGGGGTCTTCAGACGTTAAAGGGCAAATCGGGGATAGGGAAGCCTTCCATGTGGTGTTTGTCCTTCCTCTGGCCCTCCGCATGCTCTGCCATACGGAGCAAGGCCAAAGACCAGAAATGAGAGGAGCCGGGCTCACAATCTCCCAAGCTCCCTACAATGAGACGGAGAAAGTAACCCCCCCCCCACTGTCCATCTCACCAGAACTCTCCCCTAATGGCTACGGTCCTTTACACCTCCCAGCACCGGAGCCTGATAATATACAAATGCAAACTAAAAGCAAGAATAAAGTGGCATCCTCTGGCATCACTGGTGAAACTGGTAGTCACAGCAGCTCAGTCCTTTCGTGGCTAACCAAGCTCTGGAGGACAAGCTCTAGCCTTGCTGTTCAGACAATGAAATGCTTCCATATGCTCCCGCAGACCCTGGGGACCCTCAAGACCTCTCCAAGATTAGGCAAAAGAAAGGTTAATGCCTGGCCCTGGAGCAATAGGGCATTTCCAGAACCCCACTCCGGCTCCATTACCCACCCGCAGTCTATCATGATGGGTTAGTGCCCATGTTCAAGTTTCTGACTACCGCAGTCTCACCATGGCATTAGTAGGCCGCCAACAGACTACACAGGGCACTGCAAACTCTGGATAACATCTTCCATTCCATAGGGGGGTAAGGACAATGGGACTGGTAATTATAGTGCTTTAACCACTCTAGAAATGAGATAATCTCTTTACAGTACTAAATAGCGCCAAACTCATCACTTTCAAATGTGCCTTTATGTTTTCTGATGGGCTATTGAGAATCTGTTTCATGAGTTCACCCAGCCTTCCTGTTCAAGACCAGAGAGCACAGTTAGTTCCACAATGTGTAAGTGAGATGAGCTATTGGAGGGATTTTAACATTATTGCCAACATTTATTTTCTTCTAGATGAGCAGATGTGGAGATATGCCTATGGCAGAGAGCCGAAGATATTTTCCAAAGACAGGGTCAAAGGGTCTCCCCTGCTCACAGACAGAAAGACTAGAGGGCTTCTCAACAATCTACTTTCCTTTCTCTTTCTTACAACCCCAATAGAAGCAGGTGAACATGCTGAGAATTTTTCATTGCATACAAGAAATTCAAAAGAATTGTATAAAGGTGAGTTAAGCCAGCCTGAGCATCAGAGAAAGCATTGTCCAGTATTATGTCATAGACATCTTCCTAACTCTTAGGTAGCAACTGGATGACTTTCTCAAAATGCAAACAGGGAGATAAAGTAAAATTCCCAAACTAGTGAACACTTACATAAGCCAACAAGACTATGTTATCTATCACACTTTTCAAGTTCTTTCACAACTCTTAACTCAGTGGTTTCAAAGTATGGTTCTTCTGACCAGCAGCATCGGCTTCATTTAAGACCTAAAGAGAAAAGCAGACCCTCAGGCAGCACCTCACACCTTCTGAACCAGTAATCTGGCTGTTACCAAGCCCTCCAGACATTTCTGAGGCACCCTTAGGTGCTATAAGTGCTATTGTATCCTATCGGCTACTCCCAACTATTAGATGTAATAGGTAGGAACTGCAACTTTCTCATAGCCTTGCATGAGAGGCAGCGAAGATTCAGAGAGGTTAAGTGATTAACCTAAAGTCACACAGCGGACCAGAAGAAGAACCAACAGGTTAACCCAAGCGTTGGGACTCAACATTTAGTTCTCTTTCATCTTCAATACAGTCACACTAAGATACAATATAATGAGCTAGATCAACTAAATGGGCTTGGTTCTAGAAGGGCAAATATAAACTGGGAAGAGTAGAGGGGAGACACCTAGGGACAATACAGGCAACCTAGGAAAACCTGGGTCCCTCCTGGCCCACGAATCCCACAAACCTGCAGGATGGTCCACCAAATTCCAGGGACCTTAACTCCTGGATTCAGTCTGGGTTCCTCCCTGTGAAAGGTCAGAGGTCCTGCTGCTCCCAGGGAGTTCTTGTCACCTTCCGGTGGTGTCTGAGTAGTGGCATCTCCGTTACTCTCACCGCCTCACTCAGACTGCATCTCGGTATCATTGGTGTTCTCCACAATTGTCTGTCTCCTCCACCTAACTGGGATTTTGTCCACTTCCCTCTACCCCAGGACCTGCCCCAGGGCCTAGCATGGGTAGATTAAGAAAAAATATATGTGGCAGAAAAAATGATAACAAAACCCATCTACTTGGATGCATAAAAATATGTTTCCGCCGAAGACCTGCATTTCCAAAGTGACAATGGGTAGTTTCTTCCAAACAGGACATTCTGGGGAATTCTTTAAAATGCAGTTTAAAATCATCACTGTGAATAAATCCCGAGCTTATGCTGGAATACCCTTTTTTGTTCTGTGCCGTTTCTTTCTCTCATTTGTCTGCCCTTCACTCTCTTTCTCAGCGAACCCATCATCACATTAGCTTTCTATCTGAGCATCTCAAGATGGGCTAGACTGTTTTGTGGTTGAACTGTGTTTTCTTTTTTTTGTTTTCCCATGACACAAACAAAGCATTTAATCTGTGTTTGAACTCATTGTTTAGATTCTATTCCATTTACAAAAACATACAGTCATTCGACTGGAACAGAAGAAGAAAAGTATAAAGCCCACAGTAAAAGGGTGTATGTTTACACCCTTGCGGACAGCCTCCAGTAATTGGCACGCGCTTTCAAGGCGGCTGTAGGTCCTACTCCAAGTTCCATTTGCACTTCAGCTGGACGAAACAGACACAGAGGCCCACTCAGCTAAGTAATTGGATTCGCTACCTGGAATATTTAAATTGTTTTCAGACACTGGAAAATGGCTTAAGAAGATTAAAGAAAAATACCCTGGAGGATAATAGGCTATAATTTACTAGGTGGAAAATGTTTTCAACAAGAAGGACACCTCATTCTCCTTCAATTCCTCCTGGTTAAAGAAATGTCTTAGTCGTTTGGACCTAAATTTCCTCAGATTTCAGAAGCTCAATTTGTGTTCTTGTCAAACCTTTTGAATGACCCCCCAGACACAAAATTGATATGGTCCTCCATCTGATGACTCTCGTATTTGCAGCAAAATCAAGTGTTTGAATGCAAACTGGGGGGGGGGGGGGGGGAGGCGGGGAGAAGGGGGACGGGGAAGGGGGGCGGAAATAACTTGAAGTCCTAGGATCCAGGGCTCATGTGAAACACTGCTGATAGGAGACTGGGCTAAGCTCTGCCCCATCTGGCAACAGATGCAGGTAAATTGTGGGAGAATGTCTTGATAGATGTGTTTCAAGCTGAAAACTCCGGCCAGTTCAGTTCTCAGAAACTAGCCCTCCCCACGTGTGCAGGCCCACGGAGCCCTTCTGGATCCCTCAATGCCCCTCTTGCTCTCTAGCCCCCCCCCCGAGGTGTGTCCTCCCGAGCCCTTCTCGGGCCCCTCACTCGGGAGCCACGCACTGTAGTTGGCATCATCGACCACCTGTCGGCTGGACCGCTGTGTCCTCTGACACGTGGTCTCCCATGAAAGCGCTAAGAGGGTTTGCAGTCACTAAACAGTTTCGGACTTCGCGGCTGTTCCTTCCTCAAAGAGGGCAAGGAGGTAATAGGGGCGCGTCTTGTTCACACCAGCGCTTACCAGCCAGTCCCAACTTCACATTCTCGACTTTCCAAACTCTCAGGACCCGCCACAAGGCAAAGCTTGGCACTGCTACTCCACTGGCCCAAAATACTGAAGACCCTCAGGGGGCGCCTGACAGACCCAGGAAGGATGTCAACTCCTAAGCTCCCAGAACACAGGAGCGCGCGCGAAGCCCCCGCTCCTCGCTCCCCACTTCGGCCGTCACCAACCTGTGCCGCCGAGGCCGCCCCCGTAGGATCCCAGTGCGCCCATTGCATAACGCGCCCCTCGCCCCACCCCCACGCCGCCAGCCCCACCGCCCTGCCCAGCGCCCCTGCCAGCGCCCCGAGCCCGGTCCCCAATACTTACATCATCCCACTTGACGAATTTGGTGCCCTTCTTGAGGCTGTCGGACACACACACGGGCTTGAGTTGCAAAGCGTGCACTCCGGGCTGAGCCCCGGCCATCTGGGCTCATCGGGGCTCCGGGCGGCCCGGGAGATCGCGGCAGGGACGGGGCGCTGGGCACGGGCTGCTTTCTCTGCTCCAGAGGCTCTCGACTCCGTTCCCCCGCGGGCCTCCCCCGGCCTCCCGGCCTCCACACCTCCTCTGGCGCGGCTCAGCAAGCGGGGCACGCGGGGGCCAGTCGCCTTGCCATGCCCCGGGCGGGACGCGGGGTCGGGCGTCCGCGGTGGTTGCGGAGCCTCGGAGGGTAAGGAGAAGCCGAGCTTGGCAGCCTAGGCTTCCAGCCGCCGCCGGATACTGCTCCTTAGCCGCCGCCGCCTCCAAGTGCACCATTCAGCACATCCTCTATACACAGAGGGAGAAAGCGAGTGACACACGCTCGCCCCCCGCTTCCCTCCTCCCTCCTCCTACCCCCACCCTTCCCCGCCACCCGCGCGCGCTCGGTCCCTCCTTCCCCCGGCGGCTGGAAGCACAGCTCAGCGCGCGGGGTCAGGCTCCGGGTAGCGGGGCCGCAGCGGCACCTTTCGGCTTCTAGAGTCCACTGCATCCGTAGCCTGAGCCTTCCGCACGCGCTCCGAGCTTGCCTGGTGCCCGCGCTGTAGGGGGTGCCAGGGGGTGTCCAGGAGCCCTACTATGCCTGAGGTTTTCTTGGGAACTTGAGTGGGATCCTGGGAATGTGTTTGAATCCAAACGTGGTGGGAAGAGGAGCCTTCGGAAGCGATTAGACAGTCAACCCACAGTTTTCCCTTCTAGCTGGAGCTCTCCAGCGCTGGCTACAAACTCGCTTTTTGAAGACAATTATTATTTATTATTACGGAAGAAAGTAATTGAGAGGCTTGGAGTTGAGAGCTCTTTGGGGAAAGCTCTCTGAGCCTGAGAGTTAGCAGCGCGCTGGTTTTGAAGCCTAGGCATGGTTGAATTGCGCTTTTGAGGCAGAAAACCCATCCTCAGAAAAGCAAGGGTTCTATTTCCCAGGGAAACAGAGGCCCCGTGTGTGTGTGTGTGTGTGTGTGTGTGTGTGTGTGTGTGTGTGTGTGTGTGTGTGTGTGTGTGTGTGAAAGAGAGCGAGAGAGAGAAGGGAGAAAAAGAATTTAGAAACATGGGTCTAAGAATGTTTGTTTTCACTCATTCAACAAACATTTTTCAATTATTTTTTAGAAAGGGATATTCCCATTAGAATGGCTTAAACTTAAAAGATCGATAATACCAGTGTTTGAGAAATCTTCTCCTTTGCGGGAGAAAATATGAGATGGTAAATCCACTTTGGAGAACAGTTTCTTATAATGCTGAACGTTAGCTTATGATAAACCCCAGAACTTCTATTCCAACGTGTCTGCCCAAGAGAAATAAAAATGTATGTTTACACAGACTTGTGCGGCAATTTTCATTGGTTTCTTCACAACAGCCCAAACTGGAAACCAAAAATATCAGTCAACAGGTGAATGAATCAGTTGTGGTATGCCCAAACAATGGAACACTACTCTGTAATCAAAAGGAATGGGCATGGTTGAAGGGAAAGAAGCTGGGCACGATAGAATACATCCTACATGATTCCAGTAGAGGAATTTAAAATAGGCTAATTAGCATATGTTGACAGAAAGCAAGTCCATGGTTTCCCGTGAGAAAAGCAGGGAGATAGTAGGGATTGACAGAGAAGGGGGGACCAGGGAACTTCTGGGAGGGATGAGTAGAAATGTTCTGTATTAGGAGTGTGCACTTTTTTTCAAAACTCATAAAACGGTATGCCTAATTTATTGTAAGTAAATTATATCTCAATAAAGTTGATTTTTGAAAAAGGAGAAGCAAAAACAAATAATGAGAGAAATGTTCGTTTCCCTTAAGTGTTTTTTCTCCCTGTCCTCTGCTTTGGGGCTTCCAAAACCCAATATTTATAAATTCGGTCAAAATATTACCAAAAATCTGATGAGAAAATAAGTATTTTGATGCATTCAAAATATTTATGCATCATCAGCTAAAGGGTAATCTCATGGATAACCTGGTTAACACAACCCCTGACTCCCGCTCTTTGGGGGCCATTGTCTGGTCCTTGGAAGTCACTAGCTACAGTCTCTTTAAGAACTGGCTTGTTTTGTTTTGGTCAAATGCCCCTAAACTAAAAAGTAAGTATGCTGTCCATAGACCTAAACAGCAGCCTTGGCTGACTAGCACAGAGGTGCTAATCACAGTCTCACATTGCTTTTCTTTACTTTAGAGGACTTCCACAAAACTCTGCTCCAGGGCTCCTGGCCTTCCCCATTGTCCTCACAACTGATTCTACCAGAGGTATTCTTTTCTCTTTCCTTTTCTTTTTTCCCCCCACAATCTCTCAGTTGTCTTCTGTGAAGATTATTAGCCAAATAGGTTTTACCCACCAAAGTTGCTTAGGAAAGCAAGGGAGACAAGAGGTGTGCCCCATAAAAGAGCAATTTGAGGGATCGGACGGAAATGGCCTTTAGCTAAACAAGAAAGTAGATTGAGCCTCTTTGTGGGGGCTTATTGCATCATTTTTCTGTGCCCCTTGCCCTCTCTGTATCCACACATTTTTCCATGTGACCTGGCGGTATTCAACTACACACACTGTGTACTTATTCATTTATTCAACGGATAACTTAAATCATCAATTTATTCACTGATGTTGGACAACATGACTTGCTTAGGTCAATGGGAAGTTTAGAAAATGTGTCATGAGCAAAGGCTTGAAATATGCTTGCGAGGTTTGGCTTACCTTCTTGGGTTTCTTATCATTGCCATGAGATAAACACATCTCAGGGAATGACTCGGGGGGAGACCTAGGCCCAATCTGCAGCTTGCAGGCAAAGTCAGCAGAACCCATCCTAGACCTGCCAGAACCCAGCCAACCTGCAGATTATGAGCATGAGAACAAATGCTAATTGTTGAGCGACACTGAGATGTGGGGTCATTTGTTACGTAGCATTTTTGTGGCAATAGCTGGTTGAGTCATTCATCTAGTATTCTTGATTCTTCCCAGCTGTTGTTGAGAATGTGAATGTAAGAAGGAGGCTCAAGCTGTATAATTCCGAACAGTATTCATCTTCAAGACAAATATGGGCTGTGAGAGCTTCTTTTGCCAGCAAACGGATGCAGTTTGATCCAAGAAGACTGGGAGTTAAAACCTCTCAAAACGGAGGACAAGGCTTGAGGCGGCTTGGTTCAGCTCCTTTGTTTTCCCCACTTCTGGTTAAGGAGACAAGAAAGAAATATTTTAAAGTGTGGGAAATTTTGCATGCAAAGGGACCTGTAAGAACATCTAAAATTACATGAGCCAGGCCTATCATCCATCATATTCAATGCTCTGCTCTGTTTTTAAAACAATAGAAAGGTCTGTTTTCTGTGAGAGCACAGAATTGCCCTCTGGAATGCCAGCCTCAGGGAGATGGCAAAACTGACTTTTATTAACCAAGTATTCACCAAGCCAGAGCACTAAGCTAAGCACTTCCCAGACATTCAGCAGCATAACACTTACTCTTCACCAGCACCATCTTACCCTCTTGTTTCGTAAGCAAACCCTGATTTGGTTCAGGAGACAATGGTGCATAGTGAAGGTGGCTGTGCCCTCTTCCCAGGGAATAAACTATAATTGGTCTATTGCAGCAATTCTTCAACCATTTTCACCTCAAGGCAAACATAGACTAATTACTAAACTTCTGTGGCACACCAAAAATATACGATATATATTTTTTCCAATCTGACAAGATTGGTATAATTGTGATTGACTTACAAAAATAATAATCATAACAATTATTTACTCTTTTTGCTCAAAAGTGACTTTTAAAAAAATCGGGTGCCTGTACCTGTATATAAAGGTTTCTGGTTCCAAGAATTAACCAATCAGACATATCCTTATTATGTAGCATGACCAATAAGGTACAACTCTAAGGTTATATTATAGGGTACATAATAGAGTTACATCTTATTGGTTATATCCAGAAAGTATCCAACCATATAATATGAAAAACAGACATTTATTGAAAAAGATAACAAGACACAAGAAACATGGTATATAGGTCAATAGATGCATCAGTCCCCTTCAAAGTAGGCACCTGGGGACCTCACATAGTTCCCCCAATCACCATCAGCTGCCCCATCATATTTTTCTGAATCTCATTGATGTTCTGAAATCTCTTCCCTTTCAAAGGTGATTTTACTTTTGGGAAAAGCCAGAGGTTGCAGGGCACCAAATCTGGGCTGTAGGGGTTCTGAGTCACCTGGGTGATTTGATGTTTTGTCAAAAACTCTACGCAAGAAGTGATGCATGAGCAGGTACCTTGTGGTGATAAAGCTGCTAACCACCTGTTTTCCATAGCTGTAGCCTTCCAAATCATCCAAGTAGTTTCTGAAGAGGAGGTGTTCAAGCTTAATACAAAATTTGATGCAGATTCATTGCTCTATTCGCTCAGTCATTTTGAATGCAATAGCCACACAGTGCACAGGCTCACTCAATGGCACCTACAACCCCCACTGACCAGTACAGTGAAGTCATCATTGTTTACCCAGGCACATTCCAGTCCACTCTCCTTGGCTGCTAAGGTTACTCTGATGCTGCACAAACCATTCTGGTATTAACAATGGCTGGATTTTTTTCTAGATAGACCTCATATTTATGATTCAAGACAGAAAATTCACACTGGGTGGCTATTGTTGCATTGACTGTTTTCATTTTTTATCGGACAGTCTAAGAGAAAAGAGGTGTCAGTTATCACATGTTTTAAAAATTCTTGCTGCACACTGGTTGAAAATTGCTGATCTATTTCTCTAAACCAATTACAGAATCCCATTCTCTTTCATCTAAGATTGGTTGAGGAAGGAGTTAAGGGACCCACATCTGGCCAGTGGGTTAAAGGAGATGGGGCTTCAGGGAAATACTTTCTCTCTTCCTCCCTTCCCCCCCTCTCTCTTGCTGTGTAAAGAAAATATCCAAGTAGAAAAATGCAAACAGCATTGATTGTTCATGAGATTGTTAACGTTCTGAACCATCTCTAGACTTCCTGATAGGTGAGGTAATAAAAGTATTTACTGCTTAAGCCTGATTGTTACCCTCCACTAATCTGCTGGACAACATTATCATCTCCCATTTTACCAGTTATAATACCGACATAGGAAGGTGGATTAACCTGCTCAAAGTCACACAGTTGAGACCTAGAAACCCAAATTAGAACCACAATCTCTTAACCACGATACCAGGCAACTTCTAGCACCTATAACTCAGATCTGAGTAGTGTCTCCCTACTTTGAACCACAACATAAGTATTCCCAGTGCCCCTAGAAAGCTGATTGGTTGGTAGGTAGCCCGGTCTCTTATCCATTCACAACTCTCTTCAGGCCTGCC